GTTTGTTTCGTGAGGATTGTAAAAGAGGTGACTAGCTCACACTGACCAAATACAGGAAAGATAGACCGAGATCAACTCTGTTATTTCACTGTTCTAGACTTGATTAAATTCTTTTCACTCCTGCATTTCATAAATATTTGTTGAAACCTTACTGCAGAACAGGCATAGGCTGGACACATGACAGATGAATATGGGAAGAAGGACTATTCCCCATTGAGGAGGTGAGAGTATGATAGAGAAATGAAAACGGCAGACTAGAAGCTAGTTTGAGAATGAAAGTGAGTTAATGACGTGATCAGTTTTGCATGCGAGTGAAATCACCAAGTGGAGAGAGGTGAGGCTGAGAGCCTCGTAAGCTCAGAGAGAGCCGGTCTGTGAAGAGACATCTACCACATCTAATGCTTGGGTTGGAGGATAATGAAGTCAAAGAAGGTTCTAGATTTCTAGTCTGGGGAACTACGTGGAAAATTATACGATTTAGAAAATTCTTACTCTGTTGGAGTAAGAACAGATTGAGGGACAAATCAAATGAATTTTGAATTGTCAGTTGTGAGAGTATTTACTTGGGTGATGTTTTGAATATAGGATTCAGAGTTCAGATCAGGCAGGGTTGGGGTTAGAGAATTCTAGTTGCCAGGAAGTAGATGACATTGAAGCCACAGGCTTGGATCCGTTGTCTGAAGAAAGGGAGATTTAATCCTTGCCCCTGGGATAAATCTTCTGCCACAAGACATGTCAGTCAAAGAGAGTCTCTTAGAAAGTCAATTTCTCCGAAGTTCCTGGGAAGAAATAAAAGGATGTAAAGGGAGCAGAAAACCATCTTATATAGTTTCTTTGTTCATTTGTAGCTGTCACTAATCGGGGAGACTTAGCAGTCCGAACATTAACTTCCCTTCTCCACATCCTTCTTTCTGAGGAAATGGATAGGCTTCCTCAATTTTCTTAGGGCTAAAATAATTTTGTATTATTTTCAGACGTTGAGAGTATTTTGAACATCGAGCCCTTAGACTTAAAAGTTGAGGGTGAAACCATTGTCCGGGCACCAGGAGCCCATTGTAAATGTACCAAAATAAAATTGGGACTTCAGTTTGTGCATTGTTTGATTTTGTGAGGTCACAGGTAAAGACACCAGACAATACAGATGTCCTAGGAGTCTAAGGACCGCATGGCACACCAACGAGGTGCTAATTTGTTTTCTCTCTGGTCCAGGATCCTGTTGGTGCCAGCTGACCTCAGGGGTTCTCGGTCATCTCCTGGTCACCGCAGTGCTTTTTATTTTTGTCTATGGCAGGAAGTTGAGTGTGAGCCATCCACGATTCTAAGCTCTCCCTTCTCTCCTCCTCCCTATTTATCACTGCTCTCCCGTGAAGCAGCATGCTCTTTATTCCAACACTTACAGGAAGCTGCCTCTGTTGGCCACTGCTCTTTGAAGTTCGGAGTTGCTCTAAAATATTTATCATGTGGGACACAACTTGAAAAGGGTTAGTTTCCATCAGATGCATCGTTTGACTTACTGAGGCCCTTTTGATGATAAGGACTCGTAGGGTTTCAGATCAAGGGGTGCTTAATTTAGGGAACACCTCTTTGACATCAGCCAGCCATGGCACACACATTAAAGAGTCAACGGCAGATCTCCCGTGGAGGAGCCGGCCACGGCTCTGCTTCTTCCTGGGTGCCTGTGGCTGTGCTGGTCATGCTGGAAGTGGGCTCAGCCACCCCATTCACAGATGGCTTTGCTGACGCCTCAGGAACCAGGTGGGGCGTCCTGAACCCCAAGTGTCTGTCTGTTAGCTGACCTTGTACTAGACACGGCCGCAGAGGAACCTGGTTTTTGCTACTAGGACAGTCCCCTGGGTTCTCGTACCTCTGTTCTTACGCATGCTAAGACCCTTAGCCTGGCTTGAGGCGGCTGGCACGTTGGAGCCAGACAGTATACCTTATTTGCTCAGTGTTAGAAGCTGAGCAGCTATTAAGAATATGCTGAGTAAAGAATTTACTGCTTCAAGGGAGAGTCATAAAAACTGGGGGGCGGGGGGGGGAGAAAAGAGGGTCCTCCCACTCAGAGGTGGCCTTGCAGTTTCTTCACTGTGAATGTGTCTTTACTGCTCCACCTGCAGATGTCAGGGTCAAATATGGAGTCTGCAGGATCTAAAATAAACTGTGACTTGTGAGATGGCGCAGCTCGTACATCTCCCTCCTGGTGGTGATACTTCTTGCAGAGGATTGGCTAACAACAATGTTCAAAATATGCGATTGATTATAGGGTTCCTGAAACTAACTAGTTGTGTTGGTGTTTTGGGCACGTAATCTGTGGGACGTGAATTGCTTCAGGATGTCTGTCTCAGATTTCGTATCGTCTACTGTCATGTAGTAGAAGGTGGGACTGGACAAATGAATTATCAAACACCTAAAGGATAAAACACTACATGGGCATTAAAAAGCTTATTTTCAGATGACATTTATTATACGGGAAAGTTCTCACTATGTTGTGTTATGTTATCTTATGTTGTGATGTGATATGATGTCATGTCATATCATGTCATGTCATGTGATAAAGCAAGAAGCTGTGTCTCCATACCTGTGGGTCCCAACTAAATTCATTTTGAATACGTGAACATTTCCTAGATGAATGAAGTACAAACTATGTGTGTGTGTGTGTGTGTGTGTGTGTGCAGAAACAGGACTCCATGTTGTGGACTTCAAAACATGAGGTTCTTGGACTCTTAAAGTAAAATTTCATAGACTTGCTCACATTGATCGGTGGTCAAGAAATCTGGGTGTCATTCAAGTGTTTCACCCTCTGGGAGTGCAGTCTCCTTATCTGAAAGTTAATGCAGCCGTCTCCCTCCAGAGTGGTCCCTGTGGGCCCGTTTGGGTCCCACATGCCCTGAGTTGCGATTAGCGACTCTAGACATAGCAGCTGTCATTGACAAGGACGCCACCAGACAGCGCTCGTCTGGTGCTCATCACTTCATCAACCAAACTTCATCAACCTTGACCTCCTATTGTTTCCCATCATTTTATCTGATTGTCTTGAGTTTCTACCTCCTGAGCCACTCCTTGCTGCTGTGTAAAGAGGCCTCTTGATTTATTAATCAATTAATCAGTGCACGCTGAGGAGCTGTTCAGGGTAGTTAAACAGGAAAACAAAACGCTGAAGCCCATAATCAAGATGAATCATAATTAAGAACGACCCTCTCTTCCTGCCCGCCAGGGCTGCCCACACTGTCTCCCTCACCAAGAGTCCATCCGACCCTATACAGCTTAATGGGCTTCTGCCCCATAAAAGCTGACGGCAAATTTCAGAAAGGCAGACTTTCTTCTACTGTCCAGAGGAAAATAAAGCTTGAGGGGAGCCTCATTGATAATGAGCAAAAATTGCTGAATCTTCAGAGTTCAAGCAGGTCTCCCAAATGATGTAATGGTGATGCTCACACATGGAGGTACTGTACTCTCCTGCCTCAGTTTCCCTGCCAGCCCTGGGAGCTAGATGGACTTTTTTTTTAAAGATGTATTTATTTATGCATACAAGAACTGGGGTACAGGCCAAGATGTGGGGGATGAGAGGATTCCCCAGAGACAGAGTGGGGAGCAGAACAGGCAAATTGACTGACATACATTGCTGGTGGGTCCGGAGAGGTCAGCTGCACCATGTGGGTTACTCCCTAGCTGGGGATAGAACTCATGCTGAAGCGGCTGCAGCTAGCTTCCCAGTGCTGTGTTTTTATCTGTTGCGCCACCAGGGAGGGCCCTAGATGGATTTTGCAATGAAGATAGACCATGGCCTTTCTCACAGATGAGATTTACCTTAAAATTAAGTGTAAACTGTTCAAGATCACACAGCTAATTAGTAGCAAAACCAGAACTGGAAGTCAAATATTTTAATACCAAATGAACATGCTCGGTGCCTGTTTCTCAGTGCAGCCTACCTTTCCTGTAAAAATAAAGCATGTGAATGAGAAGTGTTTTTTTTTTTTTTTAAAGATTTATTTATTTGTGCATACAGAACTGGGGTCCAGGCCAGAGGCTCAGGGGCGGCGAGAGGCTTCACCAGAGACAGAGTGGGGAGCAGAACAGGCAGGTGGAGGAAGTCCACTGCTGAGGGGAGCAGCGGGCGGGTCAGGAGAGGTCTGCCGCGCCCTGTGGTCACCTCCGGGGCAGGCGGGGATCGAACTCATGCGGAAGCGGCTTTAGCTTCTCAGTGCTGCGCTGTGACCCGCTGCGCCACCAGGGAGGGCTGAGAAGTGTTTTCAATAAATACTTTCTTGAGTTCTTTAGATATGAACTTCCAAGCGAGAGTATTTATGGTAGTTTTAGGCGAAGCGCGTGGACTATTAGTCGTGGAGATAGTTTTCTCTCAGCTGGCCAGGATATCAGATGGGCGCAAACACACGCAGCTCGCACATGGCACAGAGAGGGGCTGCAGGGGCTGCCGGGCAGCCGAGCAGTGCCTAGCTGGTCCACAGTCTGTGGAGTTTGGTTTACGTCCAACGGCACTGAGCATTCGCTGCTAATGAGGCCGACGTTTGCTTGGACTCTGCTCTGGGTCACAAGCGGCATCTGTTACCACCTGTCCACGAGTCATAGGACCAGAGGCTACGATGCTTCGGTCTAGAATGACTGCACTTACCCCTCCCCCGTGGTGCCCAGACAGGTGTTTGCATCTGCTTAATGAACCCCCTGGGAGCACCCAGATCTGGCCGTAATTCTTCAGTGGACATAAGGAGAAGAATATGGAGTATTGCTTGGCCCGGTGAGGAGAACCCTTAGGACTCTTCAGAGTGTTAATTTCCTGAAGTCTTTGCTACACAAATCTTGCGTTTGTCAGATGAGCTTGTCAACGAGAGTCAGTCTGCAGCCCGACTGCTCACTTCTGCTGCATGTCAGTCAAGCAGCGAAGCGCTTAGATATCATCCGGGGCCTCATTCGTGAACGAGACACCTCTGAGTTGCGCTTGCCAGCCTTGAGTGATAGGCTCTGTTCTCCCCTCTTGTGTCCTCCAGGACCCTGCTTTCTCAGCGGTGATTCACGACAGGCTCCAGATGCCCAACACCATCCGGAAGGCGTGGAACGACAGGGACAACCGCTGTGACATTTGTGCCACCCACCTGAACCAGCTCAAGCAGGAGGCCATCCAGATGGTGCTGACCCTGGAGCAGGCAGCTGGCAGTGAGCACTACGATGGCTCCCCTGGCTCGCCGCCGCCGCTCTCCAGCACCCCGACCCTGGTGGGGTCCCGGCACGCAGGTGGACTCCAGCAGCCCAGGGACTGGGCGTTTGTGCCGTCTTCCTATGCGACCTCCACCTGCACGGGCTTCGTGGCCAGCAAGCACAGCAGCAAGCCCAACAGCCTTGGTGTCAGCAATGGGGCGGAGAAGAAGAGCGTGTCCCCAACCCACCAGGCCAAGGTCAGCCTCCAGATGGCCACCAGCCCCAGCAACGGGAATATCCTCAACGCAGTCGCCATTCAGGCTCATCAGTACCTGGATGGAACCTGGTCCCTGTCGAGGACCAATGGGGTGACCCTGTACCCCTATCAGGTAAGGAGTCTCTGGGCAGGTGAGGGCGGGGTTGGCTGGGGTCAAGCAGACGAGAGGGCCACACTTATTTTGGCCACTCTTGTTCTTGTGGGGATTCCTCAGCTCATCGTCCGTTGTTTCCTCGGGACCTCAGTGCACATTGATGAATAAACACAGACTGTTTTAGGGACCAGGGTTCCTGCTGGCATTCTGCTCACATTTTCTGTGGCATCTCCATGAGCCGTGGGTCCCTTCCAAACCCTCTGCCTTGAGGGGCCGTCGCCCTTTTCTTTTTTGCAACTCACTCTAAACACTGTTGGGATTAGGACATGTGACCGCCTTCTCTCCTTCCTCTCCTCACACTTAAGTTAACACATACCCGTCGGTTTTCCTATGGAAATTAGACAGCAATTCTTACTTAGGTCTGCTGAGTACATCTAAAATAATTGTCTTATTTTTGCTTGGGGACATTTTCTATCGGATGAGGCTTGGGTTTGCTCTGTGGGTCTCTGCCTTCCCTGGGTCGGTCATATGTGGAGCCACAGAAAGCCTCCTGGCATTGGGGAGTGGACGGATAGCTGTGGGCATGCAGTTATCAGTCAGGGGAGGAAACTGGTGTAACAGGTGACCACAGCTTATTGCTCACTGGTACCCCTGTCACACGGAGTGTTCGGTGGGTGGCCTTCTGCTGTAATGCAGGGACTCAGGCGTGTCCATCTGTCATCCACTGTCTTTCAGAGGCCAGGAACCTTCCACCAGATCTTGCCTAGACAGCCAGGAAATGAGAAAATAAAGAGATTAGACTCTCACACGGGGGCATGGGAACCAGGCAGGAAGGGCGTGTGTAACCTCCATGCTTCCATAACGAGAGTCCAGTTCCCTGGCATCCCCTCCCCCCCTCAAGGAGGTGGGTGAAACCAACCTATCCCTGTGGCCAGGAGGATAAAAGGAAACAAACTGCGTGCATACATAGCATAGAGTCTGTTACATCTGGGAAAGGCACAGGGAAACGAAAATGAGTTAAAGGTGACTGATAAAATTCCTGGTGATCTTTCTAGAGGCGAGGGGGAAGATAGAGCGTTTCTCTTGACATCATGAAAGAAAGGGGAGCGTGAGTGTCTTGGGCTGTTATTTTTTTTCATTTATGGTGAGCTGTGTGCATGTAAGAACTGGGGCCCAGGCTGGAGGTGTGAGTGTGTGTGTGTGTGGGGAGGGTCAGAAAGCATAATTGAGAGGGGAGTCACCAGAGTCAGAGTGGGGAGCAGAACAGGCAGATCTACGGAGATACACTGCTGAGGGGAGCAATGGGGAGACAGGAGAGGTCTGCTGCGCCCTTCCCTGGCCAGGGATTGAACTCGCGCCGCAGGGGCTGCTGACAGTGCTGGGATTTAACCTGTTGCACCACCAGGGAGGACCCTGTGGCCTGGTTTTCATTTGCTGCCCTGGGTGAAAATTCCTGTGCCTATTCTGTATTTTGCTAAAATATGACATTTAATAGTAGCTCATTTTCCATCACATACCTTCTCTCCCCATTTGAATAGTCCCAGTTTCTATAACCTGGCATCAGCGTTAGAATTAAGGTTTCTGCTGCTGTAAATAAAGCGCTCTGTGCACACCGCCTGCCTGGCCCTATCTTGACTGCACCCTGGCTGAGCTAGGCGCACTCCGGTTACACAGGCAGCTCACATTTCACCTTGCAGGTCTTCAGTGATGTTTATCAGAGGCTTGTGAGAAGACCCAGCTGCGGTACAGAGCTAATGAGCGAAAGCAGAAGACCTTGTGATGGATGCTTTCAGATAAAATGTTCAAAATTGGGGAAATTTTGCACAAGAGAGAAAAGCTAAAGGTGCCACTTAGATCCATTGTACGTTTCTTTTACGGGTGCAGTGATTCTGGTCTTCCTCTTCTTCCTTTACCTCAGGGATGATTTCCTGTACGTAGGGACTATTTACTGAATTCTGCCAGATAGTACGCTAGGCATTGCGGGGAGCCCCGCCTCAGGTGGGAATCCAGGCTCCTGTTCCGGGGTCCTGTGACCCCAGAGGCTGTGACTGTCTGTTAGAAGCCAGGGAGGTGTGTGCCAGGGCGGAGGCCTGCCAGCTGCCTCCAGTGTACTTAGAGTCGAGTGCAGTCCAGCGAGGGTCAGGAGTGTGTCCAGAAGGCAGCTACAAAGGCAATGTATGCGAACCACTAAGTTAAAATCATCCTGAGTGAATGGGAATGCTTCTCTCCAAGTCCAGCAGGGTAATTCATGCACTTCCCCTAACAAGTAGCTAAAGGGATCAGAGGAAATCTCTCCAGGATGAAGAGCTTGGTGCCTGGCTGTGAATTAGTGTCCCTGTGTTGTGACAGTGTCATCCTGATGCCCTGGGGTGGGGATTCTGGGTCTGGCTAGACTGAGTGTCTCCCGTTCTGGACAGCTCCCTGCAGTAAATATTCTGCAGCCACAGCCTAGCCAGCTCGCAGAGATGGTTGACTGCCCTGAAAGCTGACCTCACTATTCCTGCTCACCCACACCCTCTCTTCCCTCCCTGCAGAGCAGATGGCTCTCTGGAATAGTGCCAGAGCAGTTTGCTGGGCAGAGAAATATCTAGACTTTGTAGCTACCAAGGTTGCTGCTTCACATGCACACATGCCCCCTGGAGCCCACACCAATAGGTAACTGTCTTCAAGGGTTACAGCAGGAGTTTTCCAGATTCACTTTTTCTCAGTCCTTTACGTTTTAAAGCATCTCCAGGAAGAACAGGAAACTGTAAGCATTGCATCAATAGATAAATATGAGTCTATCCAAAGAGGTAAGGAAAACAGCAATTTAGGAGGTTCTGAGATGACATCCAAAATGTTAAATCAACCATGAAAGTAATTTTTCACTAAATGCCTTAGACTATTGATTTTAGAGTAGGTGATAAGAGGGACCCCTTTCAAAGAAGGATACTGTTCTACTAGTTTGCAGATTTTTAACAAAATCTGTACACAGCAGATTCTGGTATACAGAGCAGAAAATGCCCTAGAACCTTCATCCACTCCTGAGTTTTGACCTTGATTGAATCCATTCTTAGGAAATTTGGATGTGCGTTGTGTCACGGTGGAATCTTTGGAGACAGTTTACCTCGTTCAGATTCATGATGCTACAATTGTTAAAACTGAGTTTAGCTTAACATCTTAGTCTGCTTCCTCACCTATGGATTTCCCTGCATTGCAGGATTATTGTGGAGAACGAGCCCTACAATGGAGCAAACCTTGAGTTATTTCCTTTGGTGCTACTACTGTGAACCATCTTGTAGTGTCGAGTCTGAATATGCCGATTAGACACAATGCATTTCAAAAGATTTGTCAGACAACCCCACACTGACTTCAGTCAGAGTTTGGTCTAGTATTCTCTCTGACATCGATTCCAGTGGGTGCGTTTTGAGAAAATAAGGACCAGTCTTTTGGATCCATTTTAGAGTTCTGACATTCAAAACTTCAGCGAATGGAAAATAAATGTGTGTAGTTTTAAGCTGGTAAACTTGTGGTTATTTGCTTTAGCAGCGTTTGGTAGCTGAAAAACTTGGTAGGAGAAGGGAGCTGAGGGATACAGACTGAAGAGTTGCTAGAGAAAGTGGAAGGATGGCCAAGAACGTGGTTTTCAATCCCACACAGCAAACAACATTGTCCTGTGGATCAGAGAGGACATTAGCAAGTCAGATTATTTCATTTGAATGCCTCCACAAAATGAGAGGTTACTCATACTGCGCGGTCGGTTTTCGTTGTGTCAGGTTTCCCTGTTGTTAGAACATCATAATAACAAGCACACCACACCACTCTCCATCGGTAGCTAGTAATTACCATTATGTAAGTCTCTTAGACTGTTGAAACTGCAGAAAACATCCCAGCTGAGGGTGGGAGGGCATGGAGAGTCTTGTCTGGGATATGTGCAGAAGGAAGCTTTTCACGCAGGGTCTTTGACCTGATAGAATGGGGTTTCGCAGACTGCCCCAGTAATAGCGGCTACTACATCTGGTGTTCTGAGGGTCAAATACATTTGAAAGCATTTTGAAAATTACAGAGTAGAAAGTGCATGTTAGTTGGTATCATTTTTTAATTTGGTAGGGAGAAGATAGCCATTAGAGATTTTGGAGCAGGAGAATAGAAAAGATTTCCCTGCTCATCAGCAGAAAATCTCAATTCTGACTGCACACTGGAATTGCTTGGAGCTTTTTAAAAACAAACAAACAAACAAACAAACCAATTCTAAACCAATCAAATCTGGGAGTGGATCTTGGTTTGAACTGCCAGGGTCAAGAGCCATGGCTGTAAAGAACAGTTTACCTGGCAGGGGTGTAATAAGTACAAGGAAGGGGAAGATGAAAGTAGATTGATAGGTGAATGGAAGAATGGATGGAAGGATGGATGGATGGATGCATAGATGGAAGGATGGATGGATGGATGGATGGATGGATGGATGGATGGATGGATGGATGGATGGATGGAAGGATGGATGGATGGATGGATGGATGGATGGATGGATGGATGGATGGATG